TTGTATATACTGTGGAGGGTGGAAAGCTCTGTTGTATCTGCTTGCTGTTTGGGTGCACCCAAAGTAAATCTTCATAGCTCTTGAGTCTCAATCAAACTGGCATCTTAAGTATCAAGCTCCATTTAGGCACAGTGGCTTCCTAATTTGTGCATATAGGTTTAGTTCCTAAGCAGTGTGAGCAGTCTTATCCTGGAGGAAGGCAACTGCTCCATCCTTCCCCCCCCCCCATGCTTCTGTGAGTCAGTGGTTCTCCAGGGATGGGGGTGGAGCAAAATGGGAGTTTGCAGTGGGAGGGGGAAACTTCTGCCACAATGGAAATGCTTTTCTGTTAGTGGAACTGCAGTTATGCCACCGAAACAGCAGTTTAGCATCCAAGCCACAGATCTTGGACAGGAAATTGTCTTTAAGGCTTTCTCTTAATTACAGTCTAATTGAAAAAGAGTGAAAGATGGATTTTCTACTTGTGCAGTTTACTTATTGAAAAATCCAATCTTTATGTGTATAGAGGATGCATGTACTTCTTTAGGGTTTGTGTGTGTGTGTGTATACACATACAGACAAACTGAAAAACATGCACCCAACTATTGCAATATTTTTCCCCCTTGTGTCCTCAGATGTGTCGGCTTGGCCAGCATAAACCAATTTGCAAAGTGCTGCATGATGGGATCATGCGAGTGGGAAAGACTGTGGCCCAGAAGCTAACAGATGAGCTTGTGAGCGACTGGTTTAACCCACCCTGGGGCAATGAAGACTGTGACAATCATTCCAGGCTCAAACTTTATGCTCAAGTTTGTCGTCACCACCTAGGTAAGTAGAGATGGGTGAGGACAGAGATGGCTGATCTTCTGTACTTGTTTACTTCATGTGACAGATCTCTTTAATTTAAAGTCAAGTCACTATTCATTCTTCCCATGGATGTGTCTCTCCCAAAGGTTAACATGTGAAAGTGGATATATATTTAATAGGCTTAATTGAGGATAGGTAGTTTAGCCTTTAGACGATGAGAATAGCCCTAATGGGTCAGAGCAGAAGGCCCTCTAATCCAGCGTCAACATGCTGCCAAGTGCTTCTATGACACTTGCAATTGTTTCTTTGTACATGGATGTTCATCACTGTGGCTGTCGTGGTTAATAGCTATTTATACATCTGTCTTGCATTAACTTATCTAGTTTCCTTCTAAGGCTATCTTGGTTAGGTTAAAATGGTTGAATGATTTGCCTTAGTGCCAAGTGCAGCTTGGCTTCTACAGTTATCTTCTGTTCTTTCATCAAACTAATTTTCTCTTGCTGCAGCACTCGGTTCTAAATGGGCTAAATGGTGGATCAAAAAAGATGAGATGAACTTCTTGAGTGTCAGTTGTATCTGTCTTGGCTGCTAGACTAGAGTTTGATCCAAAGACTACGATTTTCAAACTAAGATAACCTTTGTTCTGGGGTGGTATATTTAAACAAATTAGCATTTACACCTTGTTCAAGTGATCATGTGCAGGCCTTTTCTGACAGACAGCTCTGTTCACTGTGTTCTGGGAGACTTGACTAATTGTGTTAATCAGATTTCAAGGAGCTGCTTTACTTGTGCTTCATCTGCATATTAATCAGCCGTTTCAGACCAGTGTCCTATAGGCCATCACCCTGCATTAAAGAACTGCACCTCTGCAAAGGGAGAAGCTTGCTAGCTGGCAGAGCTCATTTTCCTATGTAAATCGTGCAGAGTCTTGATAAATATTGTCTGTCTGAAGGACAGAGATAGGTCATGGCTTTCAATATTTGTCATTTAGTCTTCTTTCAGTACTGTAAGCTGCCTGTAGTGCCTTTGACAATGGTGTTTTTTTATAGAAGTTCATTAGATAGCTCTAGCTAAAACTTTGGACAGTCTTGTAATGCCGGACACATATAATTTTTTATCTTTTCATCCACCATCTTAACAGTTATACTAGGGCAATGCAATGGGTGCTAATTTTTGTTTTCTTAACACGGCTCTTTTTGTAGCAGTTGTTCTAGAATATACCTTACTGTTTATGTAATAGTTTCTTGACCTTGCCTCTGGGTAATTTAGAAACTCTTGTACCCACAGGTAGCTCCTAGCCCCTTAGGTCCAAACTATATGCTATTAGAAGGTATGTGGCTGCTGCCAGCTCATACTTTTCCTTGTTTCTCCCTGATATTTTCTAGCTGCAAGAAAGCATGGTATGATGTTACTAAGGGCAAAGAAACATTAGCTTGATGTTGTATCAGGTCCTTTTTCAGCTACACATTATTGGAAGAGGCACGCGAGTCAGGGAAACACAGATCAACAGCACCCATGTGTCTTCTTGTAATGTGTGATTTGGACCTCAGAAAACATTACTGTCAGTCTAGTTAGTATTGAAGAGGAGTAAATCATGTGGCTGGAGAGCCACTTGAGTTTAAAAAGGTTTTAGATCAGGTTTTACTCCCAGATGTTCCTTTTCTAATCTGGGCATTAAAAAGAAAAGGGATGGGGAGAGTAACAGCTGCTTTGAGTTCAGCACCAGTTTTCGGCTGCTGTTTTTCAGAAGTGATCCCAAGACGCATCTGTGTGTAAAGCCGTTCAGTGCTCCGTCAGAAGGGTTTGCTCCCCATGGGGTGCCGTACCAGCTTATATCAGAAGAAATATGTTAGTGGAGAATCCTCCAGTTCAGGAATAACAACATTACTGGCCAAAGTGACCTTGATGAAGACCTGACATTCAGCCATTAATATTGGATTCAGCTGGGCAGTGGGAGATTGTGAAAGAGTATAAGTGTTCTAATAATGTTTTCTCTATAGAATAGAATACAGTAACGATAAAGATTAACTGGACAGTTAAGTTGGGAGAGGTGTGTCTGACATTGTTGCAAGTGGAAACAGCCCAGTTTAATGCAGGAACTCACAACTGCAATCTCTCTAAAGAAGTCAAAAAGAAGTGTTTCTTGACTTGATGGATCCTTTTACTATATCTTGTCAATCTGAATATGCTTCTGTGTATTCTTTTAAGTTGGAGCAAGTGTAGACAATGTGAGGTCTGGTAGGCTACATCTGATCTACCATGTCCTTCTCTCCCCCACCCCACCCCCTGACGACAGACCTGCAGATGAGCCTGCACATAGTGACTATGCAAGATTGTGTGGGTTAAGGAGAAAGACTTAGGCATATCAGATGCAGCATGCTAAGGATCATATGAAGTGCCCCAAAGTAGCCAGAAACAACTGCAAATTCTATTTGGCTGGAAGGGTGGGGAGTGCCAGTATGCGGGGGCACATTGTCATCACCTTCCCACTGCTTCTGGATTTCTTGTTAGAAAGGACATTGGGATTGCAGCAACTGTTGGACTTTTAGTTACTGCAGGGGCTGTGGTCTCCTGCTCCTTAGATAGGCCCAGGGCAGCTAGCAATTCTGGAGCTTTGTATGACGAGTTCTGAGCTAAGAGCATCCCAGAGAAGTAAAATCTTCTAATAAGGTAAACTTTGAGCCAAGTCCTGGAACATTTTGTAAAGCTGAATGTCATGTCCAGCTACAGATCTCTTGCTTCCCCTGCTCTCACCAGCAATAACAAGTCAAGTTTGTTTCCTTTCCTCCCACTCATCATACTGCAGGAACTCTGCAAAAGCATTTAACTCCCAGTCCGTCAAAGTATTTATAATGGAAAAATTCCATTTGCCTGCCTGGACGCTATTTTGAAACTCTAATCAGTACAGTGCTTTCTCTTTTGGATTGCATTGATTCCCAGTCACAGTTTCTGACCTGTCTTTATATTTTTTATGCTCTTCCAGCACCTTACTTAGCCACTTTGCAACTTGATAGCAGCCTGCTGACACCACCGAAACACCAGACTGCACCGCCACCCTCAAGCCAGGAACAGATTATATCTGGGAACTCAGCATCAATCCCCCCAAATTCATCCTGTCTTTCTGCACCTGGAGCTCCCCCCACTGTCAGTACCTTCACTTCCACACCCAACGGTGGTGGGACCACAAACCTCCCAGCAGGCAGCAGTTCAACTTCTGGATCCACAGTGCCACAGCTGTCAGCATCCTCCGCCGTACCCAGTATTAACCAGACAAGCACTACCTCCTCTTCAGGGTTCAGTGGCAGCCTGCCTCCAGGTCAAAACTCAGTCCCTGGGCCAAATTCCACAGAGAGACCCCAAGGAAGCACAGTCTCAGGAGGAGACACAGAGACGGGACATAACCCATCTCAACAGCAACAAGAAGGGCAGGAAAGGTAAGTTGAATGGAGGAGCATTACAGCAGTGGGTTTTAGCTGGGGAACTCTTTAATGTAGTGGATTTTAATCTCCCCATTTAAAATGTGGTTGGGTGGCAGCTTGTGCTGATATGTAGCCAAAATCAGGCAAGCGCCTCTAAACTATGATTCCCCTGTATGGCTGGAATCTCACACTGTGCGTTTGGGTTCTAACAGAGGTTAGTGTGCATTGTGGTTTGATGTTGTCTGAATCGAGCCATCACTATTCAGTTGCGGCCTGGAGTTTTAGACTATTTGACAGCTCTTGCTTCACCTTGACAGCAAGGCAAGAGAACATGTATCTCTAAGCGGGCACTTGTCTGTAATTTATTTTTACTTCTTTAAATTCATTTTCAACAAGACAGCTCTTTATTCGACTTCTTCAAACTTTTTTCCTTTCTGCATTGTTGTACCAGTCTTCTAGGCACTGTTTGCATGTTTCTGTAAAGAAGCTTTAAACTAGTAGCACCTAATGGCCTGCCTCTTTTCTAGCTCTACAGAGAGGGAGAGGATAGGCATTCCCACTGAGCCAGAGTCAGCAGATAGCCATGCCTACCCCCCTGCCGTTGTCATCTATATGGTGGATCCCTTTACCTACACCGCAGATGAGGAATCTGCCTCTGCCAATTTCTGGCTCTTGAGCCTGATGAGATGTTACACCGAGATGCTGGACAACTTGCCTGAGAAGATGAGGAATTCTTTCATTCTCCAGGTAATTCTCCCTCTAGTGTTTCACAAGAACATAAAAGAGGAACTGTAGCAGCTTTGTGTGCCTGGGAGAGGTGTCTGCACTTCCCCATAGGTCAGTAGTATGTGTGTGGTTGAAGATAAGGAATGGTTCTGCCAGCTCTTAATGCATCATGTTTCTATCCATGCACCCATAGCTTGGCTTTCAAACACAGGGCATTTTGCCAATAGAAGTCAAGGCAGTAGACAGGTCTTTAAATGCAAAATAACAGAACATACTGAGTGTAGCACATCCTCTCACAAGTTCTTCCTCAGAGCACAGTTCATACAAACATTTTAAGATCTGTGCGTTTCCATATGTTTATTGTGGTGTTGCAGTTACATTTTTGTAATACAGGGTACAGCACATATCCCTATTGTACTTTGGTCACATTTTGAGAAGACAAGAGTCACTTGAGAAGACAATAATGCTAGGAAAAATTGAAGGTGGCAGGAAAAGAGGAAGACCCAACATGAGATGGATTGACTCTATCAAGGAAGCCACAGCACACCAAACCTTCTTGAAGGACTCTCACATTAATACTTGTGTAGAACCATTCCAGTTTGGTCTGTGAATATAGTTGCACTGGAACAGTTGATCATATTTCTGTCCTCTGTGGCATGGCCAGGAGCCACAGCTGTGGAAAAGGTTGGCTAATCTTGGTGTTATGGGGACCTGCTATAGGGAAGAAATCTTTTACCACAACATAAATTGGAACTTCTGCAAATGTCTTGGCCTCAATGAAGTGCAGATGAGAATCTGTAGCCTAGTTCTCACAATCTGGAATGTACTACTTCAGCTCTTAAGTCTTCTCCTGACCATAGTCAGCTGATGAGGGAGTGTACTGCCTCCTCCTGGCTGCCACCAGTTCCTTTGCTGCTTTCCTTCATTTGCTCACTGGTGGCAGTGGCCACCTTTGCTGCCACCTTTTTCTCCCCACCCTGGTGACTGCCACTACCATTGCCTTGTTGTTCTAGCAATGATGGTGGCTGAGATTGTGCATTGTATCATTGCAGTATGTCATTTTTTTTCTTTAACTGGGGGAGGGGTTAAGTCTTTAAAAAAATTAAATTTGCCTTATTTTTAAAAAAAGATAGTTTTGCAAACCTGGGTGTTTCCTAGCTGAACATGGGGGCATTTTGTGTATGTTTTTATCTGCATTCCTGGGATGATGTTCAGAGTTAGATGAACTTCCTGTTGGTCACTGCAATCTTTAGCAAATCAGACCCCCTAATTGTTTGTTGGGTGGAGTAATTTAAGGGCTGCTTCACACTTTACATAGTAGCAAAGTCATTGTTTTGCCAGACATTTTGTTTATGGAGTTAGCTCTCTGATCTGTCCAATAGGTAGGGTTTTTTTGTGTGTTCCCAATAGGTAGACGTTTTTTGGTGTGTTTCTGCATTTTAGCAGCCTTGTAAAATGGTTGGGTGCATGCACTTTACACACTTAAAGTGCAAAGAGGTCCTGAGTTAAGCAGAATGGCCTTTTAATCTTGACTTATGTGTCTGTCACACTCCAGATTGTGCCTTGCCAATACATGCTGCAGACCATGAAGGATGAGCAGGTCTTTTATATTCAGCACTTGAAGTCTCTGGCATTTTCAGTGTACTGCCAGTGCAGGCGGCCGCTACCCACACAGATTCACATTAAGTCTCTGACTGGCTTTGGGCCAGCTGCCAGTATTGAGATGACCCTCAAGAACCCCGAGGTGAGTACTTTAACCCAAGAGGTGCAGGGAGATTTTCAACCCCCCAGAAAAGTCAAAATAGCAGATGGTGTGTAAACCAAATGCCGAATTACTTCTCAAGTTACCATGAGGAGCAGACATAAAGGACAGAGCAAGTGACCTGCAGAGTACATGCTTCCAAGTGGTGCTTGAGAATCTTAAGCAGCGGTCTCCAGGGGTATTAAACCTGCTTCTGTGTATGAAATAAGTTAATTGTACGGCGTTTGCAGAGGGTTGTGAGATGCATTTTCCCCCTGAATTCCAGAAGTCTCAGCTGAGAGATAATATGCTTCCTTTTCATCTGTTCAGTAAATATTTCTATGGTTCTCTCTTGGACTGAGGCAAACACAGATGAGGTTACTTATTCCTCTCATCAACCTTAATTACTCTAAATTGGAGTTTTTATTGACTTAAACACCAATTTTGCTGGTGTAAAGCTACTGCTGAAACATATAACCCTTTCAAAAGAGACCTTAAAAGTGTTTCTTCTGGAAGAGCCCTCTATACAGCTGGTAGTTAATCAGTTGTGCAGTCAATGGATCTTTGGGGAATCGAGATTTATCTTGCTCAGTGGCTCCCGCTCAGGCTGTTGAGTCCAGAAGACGCTGCGTTGGTCTCATTCTGAGCTGGCAATGTAACCATCTGCTTTCCTTGCCTAGTGTGTATCTTCCTCACAGATGGAGCATTCCTTTGGTTTCTTCCTTCAGCATATTTTCTTGCAAATTAAATTCTTGAACTGGCACTGCATTGCTTCAAGGTTATGTGTCCACTCTGAAAGTGGGGATTTAATGCCTCATTTTGTGATCCACTATGATTCCTAGTATTGGTGTTTAGCATGTATGGTGGGGGTGGTCTGGAAAAACCCACCGGCTGCAAGTTGACATGTTTAATTTTCCCATGTCTGTCTTTGCATCCATTATATGCATTTGACTGAAGCTGCCATTGGAAGCTCTGACTTTTGTGGCTAATTCTGCTGTGACTTCAGCTGATTATCCCATATTTATATTTTAGACCAAGAGTCATCTTTAATTTTCTTGACATTTGACTTTTTATTTTTTCTGCGAGTTTGCTTGAGGGCTGGTGCAAACCACAAGCTTGTAGCAGTCTCTTTAAATGTGCTCATATAACATCTCAGAGCTTGTGCCCTTTGATGTGCATGGGCTGGCTTGGCTTGTTGAACTCAGACATCAGGACACCACTGCAAGCTAACCAGGTCCCAGCCTTGTGGTAGGTGGTGGAGCAGTCCAGTATCTGCACTGGGCACCACACAGAGTACTTTCCACAAGCTGATAGCTAATGATAACTTATATTGCTTTATAGTTAATGGAAATACACATGTTTCTGTTTTTGTTTTTGTTTTTAATTTTTTTATATATAATGTCCTATTCTTACAGCGGCCTAGTCCTATCCAGCTGTACTCCCCTCCATTTATCCTGGCACCCATCAAAGACAAACAGACAGAGCTTGGGGAGACCTTTGGAGAAGCCAGTCAAAAGTACAATGTGCTTTTTGTTGGATATTGTTTGTCCCATGACCAGCGCTGGCTTCTGGCCTCCTGCACTGACCTGCATGGGGAGCTGTTGGAAACGTGCATTGTCAACATTGATTTGCCAAACAGGTAGGATGCAAAGATAGGTTTATGTTTCTTTATTTTGCCTCAATGGTGTACATAAGAGAGCTGGTTCATATTGGTTAGAGTGTTGGATTGGGGAGATCTGAACTTGAATTCCCCTTCAGTTGGAAGATCTCTGGATGGCATTGATCTAGTTACACTGGCTTAACATCCCTCTCAAGGTTGTTGGTGAAAACAAAATGGGATAAACCTCATGTACATTGCAATTTGAGAAACCAGGACAAAGTTCTTGTCCAGCTGCATATGTACTAACCATCTATGTGAATCTGTTCAACTGTTTTTGCATCCTAGTTCTTAAAAGTAGGGTTGGGGGTGTTTTAGGAATAATGTAAATAAATAAATGTTGGCTGGGGGGCATTTTAGGAATGTCACAAGGCAAACATTTATTTTAAAAATAGATTGGCTTTAGTCCTGATCCCCTAGATAATATTTAAGGATTTACCCTGCCTTTCAGCCTGTGCTCTCAAGGCAGGTTGATAAGAGAGAAACAAAAATGTAAAAAAAAAAAAATCAAACAAAACAATGCTACCATGATAAAACAGGAAAGCTAACAATGATAAAATCAGAAAACATATCTTCAGAACTTGGGAGAATTAAATTATATTCACCTGGCCTCTAAGTAATTGAAGTCGGCATCAGCGGACTGTCCCTGAGGAGAATACTCCACAGCCATCACTGAGGAGGGTTGACTCCAGTTGCTTCCTACACCTCTGAAGGCTGAGGGCTTCTGTTGCAGGGAATGCAGCGGAGTCTAAGCACGTTCATCCAAGAGCATGCAGACACAGGTGTTATAGGTCGAAAGCATCACCTTGAATTGTTTCTGGAATCACATTGGTAGCCAGCAGAGAGTTTATAATATTTGTGAGACGTATTCCAACCAGCTTGTATCAGCGAGTAATCTGGCTAGTGAGTTCTGAACCAACTAAAGTTTCCAGATTTTTTTCATGGAAAGCTCCATGTACAACACATTGCAGTAACTGGTTTTGATGCTATGAATTCAGGGCTAATACTTAACATTTATGTAGGGCTTTAGGGTGTTTAAGTGCTTCACACATGTTAATGCAATACATTCTTACAACAGCCCTATGTTTCCTTATTATGGATACAAAGCTTAGTGATAGTGGCTTGCCTAAGGCTAGCTTGTGACTTCACAGCTGAGCTGAATAAAATGATGACAGAAAGAGATCTGTTTGGTCATATGATATTGAAAAGAAGATGTCTAAGTTTCTGATCATCAGGGATGAGGATTTGCAAAGACAGAAATACCTGACTGAAATACAAAATAACCCCAGTGCTTCTTCACAGATCAAGAAGATGCAAGGTATCTGCCCGTAAAATTGGTTTGCAGAAGCTGTGGGAATGGTGCATTGGAATCGTTCAGATGACATCACTACCCTGGAGAGTTGTGATTGGACGTCTTGGGCGACTTGGCCATGGGGAGTTGAAAGGTTGTTAAATTATCTTTTGTTTCCTTCATCATCTGCTGAGCATCATGATAAGCATTGGCTTATGTGTTCCTTAGGATTTGAATGGTTCTAATTATATTGCTTTGAAAATAGCAACCCTAGATGAAAGTGTGTACTTGTGGGCTTCTCAGACAATTTTAAAAAACAAAATTTATCCCTTTAAGGTATTAATAAATTTGTATTGGAATCAGTTTCACTTTTTCTACACTTAGTAGGTTTTGGATGCCTTATTTTTTGCAGTTTTAGGTTTATTAGTATGGACCAATGGCTGGTGGATCCTAAACTTATTTCACGTTCTAGTTCTGGTGACAATAATAGGGTTTACTTGCAATCAATTGTGCTCAGAACCGGAGTCTAAACAATGAGGAGCCACTTATTACAGAGCCCCAAGTACTAATAGTGCCTCAACACAAGGGTCTGCACATTTGTCAAAAAGTGCCATGCCACAGTGTGAATTTTGTTGCTGGGAAAAGAATCATACTTAGTCGTCACACAACTGACTCTGGAGCACTCCTTGCTGTGCCAGTCCAGCCCTTCCTCAAAAATCTCCAAAGGAAATGGCTTTTCCACCATCCATAATCAGTGTATTTTATGGCAGAACTGCTCAGTTAGCAACTTTCCTAATGTTTTACATTACTCTGTAGTGTATATCACTCTGTAGTGATTACAGGTGTGCTAAGTGGATAAGGAGTCACACAATGACTAAAGCACACAATGTTTTCATTAAGCAGTGTACTTGTTAGCAAGTCTAGACCAGAGGCAGGCAACTTCTGTTTCCCACCCTCCACTCCTATGGGTCATGACACCATTGGGCCTAAGACGTAATCTGAAACAGGCCTTGGTCCTTGTGTGGGGTGACAGCATGCATACAGATTCCTCTCCAGTTAATGTTCTGTGCATTTGCAGTCCATGTTTCTCCAGGAGCGTGGGGGCTAGCAGCAAATCTACACTATGCACAAGTAGCTTTTTCTTCATAGCAACACCCAAAGAAACCCCTAAATCACTCTGCATTTTGACCTCTGACTTCCTACCTGGGTCCTGTGGCAACAGAATATTAAAGCTCCATAAGCAGCCAGTTTTGGCAAAACCAACAAAAAAGTTAGAAGAGAATGAGAAAATAGCACAGGGAAGGAGGTACAAGGGGGAGTATGAAGTGACCCACGTGAGTGCTCGTGGTTTTCCTGTTTGTATTTAACTAAAGTACAAATTGAAACAATCCATTTTTGCACTACAGGTTTTCTTAACAGTCCTTTTAAGTTATCAAAGTTCAACTGTTCCAATCCTGTACCTTAGTTATATAATTTCATTCTGTTTGTTGTCATCTCTGTGTTCGACCCCTTCATATTTCAAGCCATGCGGTGACTTTCTAGTTTCCCATTCTGTTTACATGGTGATAACTAGAGAACACAATGTGATTTCAGCAGGTGTTATGGGCTGGAGAGTAGTCATCTGAAACAGTTTGTTATGGTTGTCCTACAATGCCAGTGGTGAAGCGAATGATATAACTTAAAAACAGAGATATAAAGTTTTTAAAAAACTAAATAGCATCTGTTGCTGCTGGGAAAGGCAACATGAATTCCACATTTCCATTCATTGATATAAAGTAGAACTAGTCCTTTAAAATGGTTGGAGGAGAGAACAGTTTTCTCTCTTGATTATAGTGCCAGCCATTGGAGAGGGAATGAAAATAAGGAACAGATTGCAAACATGCATTTCCTCACTAACTCCTTTCCTTTGGCTCAGAGTCAGTTCATTTATGTGCAAGATTTCTTGCTGCCATTTCCCAGAAACAGTGCCCATTTTCTGGGCCCTAGGCCACTTTGCTTAGATTAGAAGAAAATTCCATGCGACTCACACGGTGGCGTCTTGCGCATCCCCATTCAGAACCTTCCACTCTGTTTTTTGGTTGTATAGCTCCACCATCTTGCCAGTTTTGAATCTGTGGAAATTATATTGCCTTGCAATTGATGCTTCAAAAACGCCATCTAGAAGCTTGTTAGCCAGATGCAAACTATTTTTGTTTCGGTTCACTTACAAATGAGAGAAGTGCTGAGTTGTCATATTAGCTGAATAATTAGGATGACAGGTAGGTGCTCCCTTTCTGGGAGATCACTGCACACTCTGGGCATACCTCACAAGGTAAGTGGCTGAAGGCCAGGAAGTCGCATGTACTCCAGTTTCAGAAATGCCACTGCAGTGAGCTGGCTGCTGTGTTGTATTCCCATTGTGCAGGGCTGGATGCAGATTTTAGTATTTCTTTATATATATATATATGTGTGTGTGTGTATGTATATATATAGTATATGATTTACATTTCATAAAAATGATTCATATCTTTATACATTAAACTCCTTTTTATGCATTACACAAGAAAAAAAAGCAAAAATGAGGTTACATTCCAAACTATATAACTAACAAATTAAACTTAATCCCAATCCAGTTTGTAACCTCTTCTTTTCCTATTCCCTTATCAGACCCACATCTAAAACCACCATACAACTCCCTCTAAATCACAGTTTATCTCTTAATACATCTTTTGAATCTTCCAATAGAGTATTACTCATTCTTCTAACTTCTTTTCTGTTCATTCAGTCTTTATTGTTATTCTATCTACTTCTATACCTAAAAAAGAAAGCGGGATGGGATTGCCTCTGATACTGGGGGCTGAAGAGGAAACCCCTTCAGCAGAAGGATAACCCTCCTCCCCGTTACCAGAGGTCTTGGGGGGAGCACACCCTCCACCTCCTTGCCATACTCTCTGGCTATAACACTACTGCTTATATATTACTTTATATACTTTATGCCGGGCACACTGGGGGCGGGGCCACGACCATCTGAGGAAAACCATAGAGTTTTCCCTCGGATGACCGTGGCACCGCTCCCAGCATGCCCAGCGTTGTCACGTCACTTCCTGGTGACATGCACGTTGGGGCGGAGTTCCCCCCAGGGCCCTAGCAAGCATAGGTTTGGTATAGAAATGCATTGTGGTTTTGCAGATTTTGACAGAATTGCCCAGGAAGAGAACTACGGCCACTAAAATAAATTGCTAATCTTTTCTGTAGTCAGGATAAGAATAAACTGGAATATTAAATGGTGAGGATGACTACAGTAATTTGATAATGTGGCTTTTCAAATTGATTGCAGGTGTAAGTAGCAGTTCCCAATAGCAGCCTCCTTGACAGCCCCTAAAAGCACAAAGGGAAACAAAGTGTAATCCCTAGTACAAAACTGCAGAGACGTAGTAAATTCTGGTGGCTGGCCAAAAGTCGAAATAAAAGGGATCAAGAAGGAAGGGAAGGTAGATTAAAAGAAAGCATAAAGAGCAGAGACTTGCAAGGAGGTGTGCATAGGGAAATAAGCAGATAATGAAAGAGGCCTTAACCATAAGGACTAAGAACTTCAAAGCGATTGCCCCCCCCCCCAAAGCCTATGAATGCTGAGGTGATATTGTTATAGTGATGTGAGAGGAAGAGTCATGTAGCAGAAAGACTGCAGGAGGGGGATGTCCTGCAAAAGGAGGTAGCAGTAGCCTATATAAGAGAACACTAGAGCAAGAAGCGTTTCTGTAGACGATACAAAGAGGAGAGATGGCAGTAGCAGGCAGCTTTCAAACTGCTTCTGCCAGAAATTTCGCATTTGGGGCCCATCCATCCCTGCAGTGTTCTTCTCCATCAAGTGATGGTTATATTGTGTTACAGTTTGACTTGGGGATGATCACGCACTGTGTACATTATGCAGCCTTGTGTTTAGAAACTGGGCTAAATTCTGTGGAATCTGGTGCGTGGCTAATGACAGTAAAATACTGGCTGCGCTTACATGACAATGTAGACCAAGGGAGCCTTATACAACAAATGCTCACAGAATCAAACATGTCTAACTGGCTACCACACATTGAGAACAAAATAACTGCCATGGGCATCCCTTTGGACTCACTGCTTATGCTGCCTTTTATGGGTGGTTTTCAGATGATTAAACACAGAGTCCTTGACATTGAAACACAAAGGCTATACAGCTTAGCCAACAAATCTTGCTCCCCTCTGAACTTTGAGATTCCCCTCACGGTAGGCCGAATGGCCCCATACTTATCTGATATACAAACACCAGAACAGCGCAGAGTCTTTTCACTAGCAAGATTCAATGCACTACTATCAGCAATCTTGCATGGGAGATATAATAATACTAGAAAAAGGCCCGTTGTGGAAATAAATACAACGGCCTCTAGAAAGAGGCTCTGGGCGGGTGCCCCGGCCTTGGACACTCAGTGTCAATTTGCTGTGGCGACCTCAGCAGGGTATAATGACACTGAGTCCACCATTTTCTCCAGAGGAACTGATCTCTGCTACCTAAAGAACAGTTGTAATTTTGAGTGATCTCCAACCCTCACCTGGAGATTGGCAATGATGGTTCCCCAGAAGGGAATGGTTGGTTTGGAGGGTGGAGTCTATGGCTTTGTACCTGTCCGAGTTCCCACGCCTCCTGAAAACTCACCCTCTCCAGGCTCCATCCCTCACATCTCCAGGAATTTCCCACCTGGAATTGGCAACTCTATCTCCTTCCCAGCCAATCATCAACCTACCTTTATTTCCCCCTCACTCTTCAGCTTTCCACTCCCCCCACACCTGCAGCCTCTCCCGTCACATTGGCTGTCATACGGGGGCCACCTCAGCAGCATATAAGGATACAGAGCCCACCATTTTCTCCAGGGGAACTGATCTCTGCCATCTGGAAAGCAGTTGTAATTCTGAGTGATCTCCAGCCCTCACCTGGAGATTGGACACATTTTACCTCAGAACAGCAAACTGTTTAGAAGAGGAACAGCAAACTGTTTAGAATGTTGGAGGCGAGACTCAAGCAATGCAGCCAGTGGATAGGGACAGATTCTGAGTGACACACCAGGGCACCAACCAATTCCGGAGCGTGTGGAATGTTCTAGAGAAGTGCCACCACCATTCGGCTTTTATATATAAGGGAGAACTCTGGATGCATTGAGACAGTTTCACATATCTGTTTGCACTGCCAATTTTATGTAGATATACTTTTTAGATATTTAAACCCTATTTTAGCCAACATGATGGACCTTCCTGATGCTTTAGAAGTGCACTGTCCTCTGAATGAGTCCGCTACTGAAATATCAGTGAAGGTAGCCATGTTTTTACAATCAGCTATAAAGCTACGTCAGGAAAAACTATCAAAATGAGCCACACTTTGTAACAAATTGTTTTATGTAACATTATGCAATATTATGTAGTTTGCAAAATACTTGGTTTTATATGTATGGTTTTTCATGGTTTCATATGTATATTTTTTATAGTAATCCTCTTTGAAGGTATTGTTTTATGCCAATAAAAGCTAACTGACTGACTGACTTGGGGATGAAAATATCCCCAAAGGCCAGTTACATTTTACCTCTCTCTCCCTTTTCCAGACTGGAGTATCTTGCTTGGGGAGTGTTCATTGCAGACAATCAGCAAGCAGCTGAAGGAGGTGTGTCGAATGTGTGGAATCTCATCTGCAGACTCTCCCTCCATTCTCAGTGCCTGTTTGGTTGCCATGGAGCCCCAAGGGTCATTTGTGGTGATGCCAGGTAATTCTTTGCCACTCTCTGATGTTGTGCTTAGTGGACTTAGCCACACAGACATCTCCCTTTCAATATTTTTTATTTAGATTTATTTTCAATATAACACTGATGTTTTTTCTCCTCAAAATATCTTTCTGCCACATGTCTAAGTACCATACCTTTACATTCTGTATTGTGAAAATATATATTATGGGAAATATATAGTATGGGAACTGGACGAAGAATGGCTTTTCTGTTCTGAAACCCTAATGAGAACTTGAAATGTATTGATCACCATGTCTGTCAGAATAAGGAAAGGTCAGTTATACAAATCGGGTGGGTGGAGGAAGGCTAAAGTTTTAAAAGCAGTGAAAGAACTGGCTAACCTGCCAGCCAATTTACTAGACAGTGTTTTCATAAGAGTCTTATTCTTCTCCTTAAAACTTTTCTTGGCCTTGGGACCAAAATAATAGTCTCTCCCAGTATGAATCTCTGCGCCAGCTTCAGTCTGTCTTGCAATTTCTTTTGGTTGTTCCCCTGCCCAATGCCATCACGTCAGCTGTAGCCCAGGCAGGGGCATTTTTGGTGGTGGTGCCATCACCTGTAGATCAGGCTTCTAGAGGATGTTTCAACAGTGCCTACTCTGGCAGGCTGAGAAAAAGTGCAAAGCAGTACTATTTAAGAAGGCCTTTGATGGAGACTGACATTTGCTTACCTTATGGTTATGTTACAGGTTTGACTGTGGACTCTTTGGTTACTGTTTTGTTTTTAATTGATCTTGCACTGTGCCTGCATAGATGGACTCAGTGTTTGTAAGTCACTTGGAACCTTCTTGAATGGGGAAAAGGGCCAAATATAAATATATAAATATATATTATATAGATTAATATATATTGACATATAAACAGTGGGTGTTTTACCACTTGCAAAAGCTTGCATAGGTTGGGACTCCATGACTTACACTCTGTGTGAATGGGATTTGTATGAGCAGTCTATCAACCGTACAAACAAGCAGTGAGCCTTGAGGAAGGAAAGGTGTGCCATTGTGATAATCACTTCTATAAGCAGTCACATCCAAATTGAATATAGAAATAAAGATTGAGGAATGACAACAAACCTCAAGTGTTGAAGGACAGATAGATGGGGGACATCTCTTAAAATGCTGATTTAGAAGTTTGTAGGCCAAAAATATTTTATTTGGGGGAAAACCCCTATCTTAATGGCAGACTTAGAAATATTTTGGTTTTCTTGTACCAGTGGGAAGGGATTAAACTCTTCTAGATGCTGTTGCAGTCATTCCGCTTGTGGGCACCCTAGAGACAGCTGGTTGGACTTGAATGGGCCTTGGTCTGATCCAGCATGACTGCTCTTATATTCTTACCACGCTGGCCACCTAGAAATGTAATAGGCATTAGCTTTTCTCTGTGACGGGAGCTGATTGTCTTAAGTGCACATCCCTGCATCTTTACACAGCTGGAGCCTCTACCTTCTTCAGGACCATGCATACAAGTAGTCTTAACACTTCGTGTGTTCTGGGCCCGCCTGAGTAGATTGGAGGGTGTGGGTGGGTTCAGAGCTGTAAAAAGACAAATTAAAATGATAGTGCTAAGTGCTTCAGAGAATTGCTTGAGGCTCCCAGTGTCTGTCTGTGGGAGAGCAAAAGCTGCAGCTCTTCGTCTGGGCTACAGAGGATTTTGGTAAGGCTGCCGTTGGCTATTAACCACTTCCAGGCATCACCTGTTGAGTGAGGAGAGGCAGATGGCCATGTTCCACCTGCACACATTTAAGGTGTGTATATTTGTGGCTGTATAGTTACATAGTCACTGGGGATATGTTGAATTCACATTCATGACTGGTGTTCTTATGTTCATACCTGTATGTGCAATCACTCACTTGCAATCGTACCTGAGTCCTGACAGCTGTCTTGTACTATCGTTCAAAGATGCCGTCACCATGGGGTCCGTGTTTGGCCGTAGCACTGCCCTGAATTTGCAGTCGTCTCAGCTGAACACACCTCAGGATGCCTCTTGTACACACATCTTGGTATTTCCAACATCCGCAACCATCCAGGTCGCTCCAGCAAACTATCCGAACGAGGATGGATTTAGTCCTAATAATGGTAAGTCTGAAGGAAGTGGGACTGATTGCCATTTGGAATGTGTCACAAGGCTTCTGCCCTAACACTCCCTTGAAAGCCCTGCTGTTCCTTGAACAGGTTGTTCAGCCTCAAAGCTCTTGTGGCATTCATTTAGGAAACTCAAACTGACCATTATCTACAGGCTTCATGTTCCAAGCTGCAACTTTTTCAAGCCCACTAAGGCAGAGACTCTGAAAGTATAATTTTCTGCTCTTACTAAAAAACAAAAACAACTTTCAAGCGAATATTTTTGTGGGTTTATCATTGGCTTTATTTTCCACAGCTGGTATCATCCTATTCAAGTAGCATGGCTTAACTGAATGAGGGGGGGTGGGCTTGTATGGAGTGTAGACTCCTGTGGCTGGGAAGGGAGTGCTATGAAACGATTCTGCAGATGTGCAACACTTCCCTCCCTAAGTGGGGACATGTATGTTTTCAAACGTAACTCCTGGTTGGAAGTTATAATTAGTAACAGTCGGGTCAGTGTCCTGCCCTTCCTCCAACAATCTCAGTGTGGTAAAATTTGTGAGTCAGTGTGTTTCATGCTCCCACCAGTCCTGTAGGTTAGAGCAGGCTGAGAAATAGCAACTACCCCAAGGCTAGTTAGCAAGCCTTGCAGCTCAGTGGAGACGGGAATCCTGGTTTTCTCCTATTTAGATGTGTTGTTCACTACACCTCACCAGCTCACATTCCATTCAGGTTATAATACTGGAGACTCAAAATGGCTTATAACATTTTCCCCTGGCAGCAACCCTGTGAGGTAGGCTAGGCTGGGAATTTGTGGCTCTGCCATGGTTGCATGGCCAGCTTCCATGGCAGAACAGGCATTTGAATCTGGGCCTCCCATGTCCTAGTCAGACATGCTAACCACTGTACCATGCTGGCTCTCAGTCATAGAACTAGTAATGATCCAGAAGAGGAGGGCTACCCATGGGGTGGTGAACAGCTTCAGTAAGGAGCAAGAAAAAAGGTTAAAGTTCTTTGCTGCCAGAGGGATGATACTGTGAGGGAAGGGCCGTGGCTCAGTGTAAGAGCATCCACTTTGCATCCAGAAGGTCTGCGGTTCAATCCCCAGCATCTCCAGCCAAAAAGATCCAGTAGTAGGTTTCACAAAAGACCTTCTCCTGAGACTGTGGGCTGCCATTGCCAGTCAGTGGAGACCATATTGACATTAATCTGATTCAGTATAAGGCAGGTTTGTATTATATGGACAGTGTCAAGGTTATAATTAACTTTGTAAATAAACTAGTTAATTCTACAAAATTGTTCTCCAGTGTCTTTCCAAACTAATTTAAGGGAGTGGTTACAAGGACAATTCTTTAATTACGAAGCAAGTTGCTGTGTAAATCCCCCCCCCCTAATTTTAAATTAAAGAGCGTGCTTTGATCTGATGCTGGAACTTTGTGGGTCTCACAGGGAAAGCCTAATCTTAATACATATGTGCCACTATCCTTTCATGGCCCCAGAATCCTGCCTGAACACAATGTTTACAAATATTTAACCTGTATTAACCTGGCCTTCAGGGTTTCACATGCTAATTGAAGCCTTGTCCAAAGGCTAGCGTTTTCCAAAAGGGTGTTAGATTTAATTTTCTCAACCCTATTCTGTGTTTAATAATTAAAAAGGCTTTGAAGCTATTAGCTCTCTCATTTGTGTCTTGGAGGCTAAGCAGAGCATGCTACAGTTTCTGCTTTGTGTGCAAGCTCGGAGGAGGATAGTGTAATAAACAGGATTAAATCGTTTTTTGCTGCCATTTGCTGCTCTCTTTGGCATAGGAAGATGCATGATAGACTCCTATGATGGAATTGACCCACTTCCAAAATGAATGGAGTAGCCAAATGGCCCAGTCTGCTGCAAAGCAACATCAAGCCATTTTTGGCTGCCATTTTTTGTTTCTACTAGAATTCAGCTGAATTTCTTGCAGCATGTAAATTTCCTACCACCTAAATTCTCTCTTTGTAAGGCAGATATCAAATATTCAGGCCTTCTTGATGAAAACTAATTCTGCAGAGGTGGTTTGCAGTTTAGTAGTCTTACTTTGAGCCGCAAAGGTTAGTCTTTGCTCTGTCTTGTACATTTTCTTTTTGCTCCCAAATAATGCCTTTTTGTACAGGTTTCAGCATATAAAAGGACTGTGCCTCTATCGCATCAAAACTGACACACTGTGTAAAGTTATTTTATTCCCTATGTTCAAATTACTAACTTTCCATCATCTGAAGCAGTCAAGTAATGATAACTTCTGTCTCAAATGACTGAGCAATAAGAATGTGTGTTTCATATACAGTTTTCTTGCTTTAACAGAGACCCATTCCAAATAAATATTCTCTTTTGAGACCTGTAAAGTGTTACAATGTTTCTGCATCAATAAACCGATGAACATTCATAGCTATTTCACACAAAGTTCTTTCAAAAGACAGAAAAAGATTACAAGCGCACTTAATAGGCTGAGCAAATGATCGGTTTAAACTGAGAAGCGGGCAGAAATCCAATAAGCCAAAGTCTATTTGGAATTCAGGATCTTCATTGGTGGTTCTCATCCTGCAGAAGTGGCAGATTGTTTATTTAAGGGGCAGGTGAGGATTTTGCCTCCTTTCAGGGACAACCTCAGTTGGTACCCTTCACTTTTTATGACTCTACGAGTGTCTGACACAAGGAAAGTAGGTGATTTCTGAAGCACCTAAGAAGCAGCCTGTTGAACTTGGATGATTCGCCTCCCACTTCTGTGTGAGCCAAATGTTGAAAAAGCTTGTTAAGACGCCCAGTTTCCTTAGTTCCAAGACAGTATGATGCACAGTTGTCATTGCATTCTATCAGAGATGATAAAATAATCAATAATAACCCCAGGGAACTTGACCAGAACCTTTGTGCTGCCATTACAGCTTTACAAGTTATACTCTGCCAATAATCCTCCGGTATATATAATTCTATTTTGGTCATGGACTCCCCTGAACATTCCAACACACTCCAAAATCAGTTCGCTCTCTGATCTGTCATTCAGAGGATTTCCCTATCTACTGGCTGCTTTGTCTGAGTCCTGCCTCCAACATTCTAAACAGTTTGCTGTTGATGTTCTGAAGTAAAATAAATTTCCCCTTAATGTCTGTTGGGGGAAACCATGGTTGCAAATCTCCAGGTGAGGGCTAAAGATCACTCAGAATTACAACTGCTTTCCAGATGGCAGAGATCAGTTCCCCTGGAGAAAATGGTGGACTTTGTATCCTGCTGAGATGACCCCTGTATGACAGCCAATGTGACAGCAGTCAGGGCTTCAGCTATTAAAACTGATGTCCAGATGACCCAGATCAGTTCTCTTGGAAACAATGGCTGCTTTGGGCAGTAGATTCTATGGCATTATACCCTGCTGAGGTCCCTCCCCACCCAAAATCCTGCCCTCCCCAGGCTCTACCCCTCAAATCTACAGGTATTTCCCAACCCAAGTTGGCAACCGTGTAATCAGCTATGGAACTACTTTCCAGACCCTTGGAACCCAAAAAACATGGCACAGGAGGAGGTGCTTTTCTACCTTAGCTGCCACTGCATAACACCCCCTCCCCCTCAAAAATATGTCAGAGGTGGAGAGAACCATATCTGTTACCATGAGGCTGTCCTCCCATTCTACTCACTTGGGGCAGCAAAATGACTTGAGACAGCCCTGCCTTATAGCTAAGCAGAAGGAAAGAAACATGGCTTGCTTCCCTCCATTTTCCGCTTCCCTCTACTGCCCCACCAGCCACAGTCATCTGGAGCTTCCTTCTAGATCTCGTTGTATTTCTTCCCATAACGGGCATTATTCCTAGTGCAGAATAAAGCTAATTTGCTCCAAAGCTCATCTTACCCTGCCTACCTTAAGGACCGCTTAGCCCCATATGAACCTACCCATCTTTAGGTGTCCTGCCTTCAGGTGCCCCCATTGTCTGAGGCTAGACGGGTAGCAACCTGAGAAAGCGTCTTCCCGGTTGTAGCACAAAAATAATGGAATTCCTTGCCCAGGAGCAGTTTGTATATCCTCCTCTCTCATTGTCTTCCACTAGGAGGTGAACACTTTTCTGCTTCCCTAGGCATTCCCTTAGTGACCCTTATTCTTGTTTGTTTTCAGTGGTTGTTTTTACATACAGTACTGTTTTGACAGTTGATGTTAAGTTTTTGATCAGTTTGACACCCTGAGAGTGGGATACAGATGTTTTAAATTTTAAAAAATCCATAGTTGCAATTGGATTGTGGTGGATGTTTGGATTCTAATATATTTTAAATGAACTCCTTAAGGTTGTCTGAAGCTTCCTTCAGCTATGCCTAATAGCGCTCACTCTGTATAGAAATACATAGAAGCATGCAATGGCAACCACCTTGTTTACCTCTTGTCTTGAAAACACTAAGGGGTCCTCATAAATTGGCTCTGACGATGGCATTTCCCACCACCACATGTCCAAACCCATTGCCCGATATCCCCAATTTATCTCACCAGATTTCAATGGTATTCTTCTAAAAGTATCATGAACGTAGTTCCGGGCTGGATTCTACAGTGTTGGTAACCATTCCTTTGATATAGCCTCCTTATAGGAGAAATTTTGCTACCTCTGTGTATATGAAACAACGTCTCTTAAATTGTGAGCCGCTGATGTCAGTTACTTGCAGAGTATAATGACCTAAGGAAAAGAGGTCAGAGCAACAGCATCACTTAGGATAAAAGGTTGCACACCAGTTTTCACCTAATAGCCCTTGTTAGGCTGCATGTCCAGTCATGGCTATTATACCAGTGAGTGGAAATGCCTTTCTTTCTGAAAGCACATTATTGGCAGGTGTCAAGTGGAATGCAAGGAGTTCCATATACCATACGGCAAAGATACCTATCTCTTCTTCTGCCTTTATTTCTTTCAGATGACATGTTTGACCTTCCTTTCCCGGATGATATGGACAATGACATTGGAATTTTAATTACTGGGAACCTCCATTCATCTCCAAACTCCTCCCCTGTCCCTTCCCCTGGCTCTCCTTCTGGGATTGGAGTAGGACCATCTTTCCAACATAGTCGGGTAAGTGTCTTTGACTTGGAGCCAAAGTCATGCAGTGGCTGATGCACTAAACTTTTTAATGGTTCAGCTTTCTGTGTTAGCGTTGCTTTCAAGCTTTTTCTTTTGTCTGTCTCCCTGCGGGTTCAGTCTCAAGGAGCTGATTGTAGAGAAGAAGTCTGTGTTGCTTCAGGTAATATCGTGTGTATTAATGAATTCCTGGAATCCAGCAGCAATCATGGTAGCTTAACACTAAGGTAGTTCCTCCACAGTGCACTGAGGTACCCTTGGTATCAGGAGACCATATTTAAGGACTTTGTTCTGGAAACGGGGCTGATTTAAGTCTCCACAGAAGAGTTTCCGTAAGAGAAGAGGGTTTTTCTGCTAATCATAAAACCACACATCGGAACACAAGCTCTCCAGGTGCTGGAATTTTATGCAAATTTTGTTTTCTTAGCCCTGGGTGCCTGCAGCTCAGTAGTTAATTTTACTTTAAAGTGGCTTTTAAGAGGCTTGTTCCAACATCAAAGCTTATTTAAAATGCAAATTAATTTTGTTAATTTCAGAAAGAAAATGCTTTTCTTTTAAAAACCTTAAACTTAGCATAATGTTGAGGCGTTTAGTGGAGTTCACCACTTGCAGTCTCTGTGGTGTGAAACGCTTCATGGGGGTTATTATAGATGTCCATGATCCTATGTTTTGGAAATTCAACAAACCTGCAGGCAGTGCACTTTTAACACAATGGCATCAGCAGGACTTAGAGTGTTTTTCGTGAGAGGACATGTTGCTTCATCTTCTCTTCAAATAAATGGAGGATAATGGGGGTAATAAAGTCAGTAGAAAGGTTCTGATGTTGCTCTCCTGAGTGATTTCACATCTGCGAGTTTCACAATGGCAGTAAGAGAAACATCTGTTTCCTTCTCCCACTTGGAACTTTATATAACTTTAAACATTTTGAAGGTTATCGATGTGTTTCAGTGATTGGTATTGAAGTGGTCAATCTGTTCACTTTGTCCAGGTTATTTTATTGCCACAGCTACTTCTTAGAGGTGGCTAGTATGTAGATTTATTTTGGTTGGCAGATAGGAACCTCCCACAGTCCTGGCAGTAGCTGTAGGTGATGTGGAATGTTGGAAAGGAGAAGTTGTTTGTATAGAGGTTCTTTCCTCTCCCCCTGTGGACATTAACTATATCCAGTTTTTGACATTCACACTATACTTTTTAAAATTATTATTATTTTTAAACATATATTTTATTAGTTTTTCCCCCTTTTTTAACTTTCACAACACATATAATTCAACTTCTTACAATTTCCTCCCCTTCCTCCCTCCTCCCTCCCTATCTTCGTGTTGTCCTTAGTCTTTTGACCCCAGCCATGGGCACGAAGTCTGAATCTTCCACTGAATGTCTTTTCTTCCTTCCTTTTATATCCAGTCAGAATAGGTCTTCCATCTATTCCGAACTTCTGCAGGTTTCCCTTCCCATGTTGTCTCCTTGCGTAGAGTTGCCATGATGTCTGACTGTATAAAATCAAACAAATAGTTGTGCCAGATTTCAACTGTCCATCTACTTTTATCTTTCCAACCCAAAGCTATAACTGCTTTACCTGCCGATATCATAGCCTTAACTAAGGTTTGATCCTTCTTATCCAATATCGGGCTTCCCTTTGTGCTTATCAACATTAAGTTGAAGTCTATGTTTAATGTTATTTTACTTACTTTCCTTATAGCTTTAATAATTTCTGCACAGAATGCCCTTGCTTCTCTGCATTCCCACCACATATGTGCAAACCAGGCTTTACATTGTCTACAATGCCAGCAGAGGGAGCTTAATCCTGGAATCATGTTAGCTAATTGGGCTGGTGTCTTGTACCATTTTGTGATAAATTTGTATTCAAGTTCTTTAAATTTAATTACCTTAATTTCGTCTATTCCTTTCATGATTTTTTCTGCCATCCTCTCTGTTATCTGACCTTCTCTACGCCACACTTTTTGTAGATATTCTATTATTTTATCTTTATTTAATATCATCTTTTTATAAATTTTCCCTACTACACCTTGTTTCTTCTTAGTCATTTCTTTATATATTTCTTCCATTGGATTGTCTATCCATATTTCTTCTTTCTTCTGAGAAAGAGGGGGGGAAATGAAAAAGAAAATGAAAAAGGACATTCACACTATACTAAACACATTGCACACATACTCCTGTTAACAAATGCCTCCTGCAATAGAAGTTTCGTTAGTCTGTTTCTTGACATCTAGGAATGCTTGCAGTTTTTTTGTTGTACACCCAAGTGACCAAGAAACAGGTTTGTTAGTGGCTTCTACCAAGTTGTAGCAATTTTTGAAGATCATTCTAAATATTTTGTGGCAATTCTGCATTGCTTCAGTTTCTGCTACAATGAGGTTTGTGATCAGGGAGCTTGGAAACCTGATGAGGCCTCTTCTAGGTTTGAAGCAGCTCTGTTTAACCATTAACACAGCTCTGGTAATTGAGGTGTAATTTTTGTTTTTACAAAACCTGCCGTGTGTGTGATCAGCCGCCCCCAAGGGAGGGCACCTCTTCATCCATGGCCCTCGTAATTGATTGCTGAAGTTTGCAAATGTGAATGATTCCATAGCCTGCTGTTGGATTTTCCTTCTGGCATGTTTTGATGCACTTTAAGATGTTATCCCAGGAGGAATGGGCTACTTCGAGTTCCTGCAATAGAGCCACCTTGGCAAATCTTACCAGGAATGAACATACAGGTGGAGACAGTCCTTTTGGGCATCTTGGGCCCAGGCTATTGAAGGCTTTAAAGGTCAAAAACCCATCCTTTGCACTGAATCTGGAAACATAGTGGAAACCACTGTAGATGGTTCAAAATTGGTGCCAGTGTAATAGTTAGGATCAGGGAGAACCAGGTCTGAGACCTATCTCTGCCATGGAAGTTTGCTGGGTGACTTGGGGCCAATCACTGTCTCGCACTCTCTGTCTCACCTGCCTCTTGAAGCTTGTGAGGATAAGGTGGAGGAGGGGAGAAGCATGTGATGAGCCAGCTCGGGTCCCAATTGTAGAAAAGGTATAAATTTTAAGAAGTTAATTTCAGCAAGCCCACAGTTAACATTTTGGTTACTGCATTGGAAAGCAGCTGTAGCTCTAGGTCATCTTCAGGTTTGGTGGGGTTATTATGTGTTTCATTTCTAATAAGAAATTCCTTAAGTTACTGGAGCTGCTGTATACATTTTTTTTTTTGAGGGGTGTCTGTGACTAGGAAGGTGGCGTTGGTGTTTTGTTTGGTTGCCCCATAGCACAGTGATAGCTATTATAAACATTTATCATCATTGACTGTTGTAGGAGATAAGAAGTTGACTGGACCATATCATAAGCAGTTTCTGTTCTCATCTGTTTCACTCCCATGGAAGACTGCTTCTTGTTGTTTCCTTTGTAAAAGATTGCATAAAGCTAGCACATGTAGATATCCACACCTCTTTTGAGTATTAAATGGGGGGGGGGGGTCAAGAAATATCGGGGGATGGTGAGATGCCATTTCCATTGAGACTGGTTGTTCCCAGCTCACTGCATCAGCCCATGTCAAAATTGTTCAATCTATACAGAAATCCTCAAGTATTAACTAGCAACAAGAGACCATTGTAACACTAATGTTTCTTGTCCTATTATGCACTTTTCTAGCGCTACCCTGTTTCCCCGAAAATAAGACCTACCCCCAAAATAAGCCCTAGCAGGATTTCTATGCATTTGTGGTATAAGCCCTAGTGTGTCTTCTTGAGAAAAAATAAATATAAGACAGTGTCTTATTTTCGGGGAAACACGGTAGTGTATGGCCTCTTGAGTTAGCTTAGAATGCTGTAAAAACAGGAAAGGGTTATATTTGCAAGGCCAAGATTGGCAGTGCAATATGGTGACTTCTATCATCAGCCTCTGCCCAAATCCTCCAGAGGGATGCTCCCAACCAATGTTCCCTTTGAGGTGTGGAGTATTGTGAGCCAAAATTTTACTTTGTGAGCCAAAAATGGTGCTAGCTTTAAAATTGTGAGCGGGACTACATTTTTAAAATATTTTTTATTTCAGTTTACAAGCATACAAAATATAGAATCATAAAATATAAACTATTACCATTTGTATTACAAGCCATATATTTATATGGAACTGACTTATATTTGTATTACTTACATAATTATTTTAAACTATATTTTAGGAATGATTTAAACATTATAACTGTAACCAGAATCAAGTCAAATTTCATTACAGAAAACGTTTTAATCAAACTTCCCTCTTCTTCCTTTCTCTGTTTTCCAGAAATTGAAAACACTGTCAATATTAATATTCCCATCTGACATATGCAGTTTAATTCTCATTAATTTCTCCAGGTGATTGGTATCTAGCTGATTTCTAATCTTAGTTTTGATGGCATTTATCAAGCTAAAACCTCTCTGGCAATCAGCACTTGAGACTTGAAAAGTTCCACAAACATCTAGAAGATTTGGTTCACTGAATTGTTCTTGTGGGTTTTTTTTTACTGATTTAACAACTGATATTATCCTTGAGACAATTCAGTGTTTACTCACTGCTGAGATACAATGCCTGCTCCCCTTTAAAAGAAAAACACACACAATAAAAAGGCCTTAAGATAGCAAACAAGAATATAATTTTAAAAATTAAACATTTCAAAATGACATTTGCAATGTTTTGTTTTATGTGAAACTTATTCCAATCATGAATTAAATGAGTGATTAAAAGGATGGGTTTTTTTTTTAAGCCCAGAACAGTCTAAATGAAAGTGTTCTATTTGACTGAGAAATTAGTTTTAAGCTACCATTTAACTCAAGGTACTTAAGAAATCATTCAATTCAATTCATTCAATTGGAGTCACCACTCAAAATCAATTTCTGTTCCCAAGTTAGATTTTACCAAAAAGCTTAAGGCGAAAAATGTAACAGCTGAGCAACAGAACTATAATTGTTTAGTGACACCAAATTAAAGCAATGGACATGTTGTAGTTTGCAAATTCTCTCCCTGAAGTCATGGAAGAATTTACATGTTTGCTTATACATGCTAATATCCTAGCTATTTAGTTAGAGACCCAATGACAGACCCTGCATGTATTTGTTGCCAGAGCAAGGTGATAAAATGCATAATTAGTCAAGGTCGGGATTCTCCAATTGGGTAATCAGTAGATCAGAAGATGTCCAAGGGGTGGAGTCTTAGAAAGCTTATGGCCCTTTGTTCTAACTCTCGCCTAGGGCAAGCACGTGGGGTTTAGACTTTAGAGAGTCAAGATGTAGGTTAGAAGAGTCAGACAGGATGTTAATCCTTTGCTTTGTGTCTAGTATTTCCCAGTTTACCCTCCCTCATTAGTAAAGTTTCTTGTATAAAAGCTAATGCAAGTATTCTGCTTGTTTATGTGTTCTGTTTATTAACTCTGCTTTTACACTGAAATCCCTAACAGGCAGCAATAGTTGTCTACAGTGTTGTTGTTTTTTAATATACAACCCGGGAAAATAAGTCACTGTACACTACAACTTGGAGATTGTTAAAGTGACAAATCCAGAGGAAGTACAGGGCAAGACATGCTTTTCCACTTACAACTTCAAAGCAGGAGTGCCAAAGAAATTAAAGCTTTGTTGTCTGAAGTCAATTTACTTTTTAGGATTTAAGAAACACTAGAATATAATTAAGTATTACATACAGTTCTGTCCATGTATCTCTTTCTGAACATAAACTTTAAAAACCGTAAAGAACATAAGCCACTTTCCCACCAAACACCTACCATCCTTTGGCTTCTGAAACAGAAACTGCTGAACCAGAAACCTGCAGACAAGAGAAACCACTTCTGAAATCGTGTTTTAGATAAGAATATCTGTGATCTACAGGCAACAGAAGCAGAAAATGGCCCGGCTTCTATATGCTCCTGCTATAGTGTGTCAAAATGGATTCACAAGAAATGAAAAATATACTAAAAGCAAGTGCAATGTCCTGGCTAAGGAGCAAAACAAAACAAATTCTACAAAAGTAGGGACAAGCAGATTTAATAGCAACCCCAGGCAAGTTCTTTAGCAAGCTGACTAGGCAATGCATGCACCTATCCTTGCAAAGATAAAATTATGTCTCCAGACACTTAGAAATAAGATATGCGTTTGGGAAAATCAGACTGAAGTCAACTGCTTGCTAAGTTTACAAATATATATATATACCCAATGCTATAGCTTCTTTCAGCAAAGGCTTTTTTGTTTGTTTGTTTTTAAAACCAGTAGGTTCCTTTCCTGGAACAGACACCAAGTTCTCCCAGCAATCACATTCCCACAAGGACTGTCAGATTCTTTCCAGATTTGGGGGAGATTGAGCTCACATGCACATAAAGCCACCCCCAAACTTCCAGGCTGCTTCTCAATTTTCAGCAAACTAGGCGTCTGGAGCCATAATTTTATCTTTGCAAGGATAGGTGCATGCATTGCCCAGTCAACTCTACAAGAGAAGGAAGAGACTGTCTGTGAGGGCAGGGAAAGGGGAAAGGGGGCTTGCCAGACACGAGACCTCCTCAGCGTGTTTTTTTGCCCAGGCTTCCCCAAGGAGGAGACACTCAGACCATTTCCCTGCACCCACCCCCAATAGCTTAGACTTCCTTGGGAGAAGACCCAGAGCAGAGATCCAGGAGACTTACTTCACAGGAAGCAGGCACAAGCAGTCTCACATACACACTCACACACAGCCCTCACGTTTTAAAAATCCCACTCGCCCTGGTTACTTACACACACACATAATACACACACACACGTACTGTTTGTTGGGAATTCACCTATTCTGCACGTCCAGCACCTTCAGCTCCAAGATACTCTTCCGGGGCATAGTTTTGGTTCTCTGCAACCCACACCCCAGAAGGAAAAGGTAAAAAATGTGCAAATCTCAGCATGGGAGGGGGAGCAACAAACCCCCTTCGGCCAGGCTTTTACTGCAGCCAAAGCTCCTAGCACAGGCATGGAAACTTAAGAGCAGAGAGACTGCACTGCTGGGAAAGAATAGCCCGATCCATGGCTCTCTTGGCATCTGCTTTCTCTTCCTCTCCCCCCCCACCCGTTCTGCACCCCCTTCCCTCTTTCCATTCTGCAGATGCAGAACTCCTCCCAACCCATCCCTGCCAAAGCAGCCCCTCCTATTCAGGCAGAGGCAGTTTGGTTAGGTGCTCAGATCTGGTCCCACTCCCTGGGTTCTTAAAAGGCCATGACCGCCACTTGGCTCACCTACCCCTCTTGGTCTTTCACTTTCTGCGGCTGCCACAGACAGAGTCTGAAAGCATTTTTCTTTAAAGTAAAGGTTTTAAAATCTGAGGGAGGATCTGCTCTACTTGGGCTTATCCAGGCAGATACACATTACAGCCAATGGGATCAACTATTGGAAAAGAAAATGAAACGCCTAGGAATAACAAATGATATGATTAAAAATACAGACACTAAAGACATTAGAAAACAAATTAAAAAATCTGTAAGGAAATTGGATGTTACAAGTATGTCTGTTAGGGCGCGCAGGGTACGTTTGACATTTGGGAATTGCCCTCCCAATGCAACTGCCGAAATATTTTCATCAATTGACAGTCCCAAAACTAAGAAGAGCTTTTACTTTGGCAAGACTGAATATTCTTCCCTCAGCAGTTTTGGAGGGCAGATATAATAAAGTATCATACTCTAACAGAACATGCAGATGCTCATTTCATACAGTTGAAACCATTGAACATGATTATGGAGTGCCTTATATTCGATGAGTTGAGGGCTAATTTAGTCACCCCTTTACTTAAAGATATGGAACTGCTAAATGTGTGAGCCCAGGTGTCATGGCTACTATCGGATACCAATGATCATGTCACCCTCTCAGGGGCAAAATTCATAGGCGCAATAATCAAATATAAGATAAATAATACTGAGTAAGGTCTTTTAAATATTTTCTTTGGTTCTAATTTCTGCTTAAGGTGATAGCCGTATGAGCAGTACTAGATAGACAGAGACAGTCTTCTCCCTGCCCTTGCTCGCTCACTCCCCCCCCACACACACACACGTTTACCTCTCCAGCGTGAGAAGATGCTTGGGAGAAATACCAAAAGTGGTTTCAGGCAGTATGGTTTCCTATTATTAGTTATTTAGAAAATAGTGAAACAGTTCCAAAAAACCCGCTATACAAGAAGCTGTTGTTCTTTTAACTGTTTGGTACTTAGTCTATACAAATGTTTGACTTTACTGTGATACTGTGGGAGTTATGTAAGAAAAGCTGTTGAATTGAGCTGGTAATTGCTCTTTGTGTTTAATTTTGCTGTGTTTACATTGTTAAAAATTAATAAAAACAATTATTATTTTTTTAAAAGACAGGGCCTGGCCCTTCCTGCCTGGCTTTTGCCACTGAGAGGGAAGCCAGCCACCACCCAGTCCCCTCCCCTCCCCGTTGCATTGCACATGCTCCTAGATGACTTGCTTTTGATGCCTGACTTGCCTTTCCTTCTCTTGTTTCTCCAGAGCCAAGGAGAACGTCTCCTTTCCCGGGAAGCCCCCGAAGAGCTGAAGCAGCAGCCTCTTGCACTGGGGTACTTTGTCTCTACTGCCAAAGCTGAGAACCTTCCTCAGTGGTTCTGGTCATCCTGTCCGCAGGCCCAGAACCAGTGCCCCCTCTTTCTGAAGGTTTGTTGAACATCTTACACTTGGTTGGAGAATAGAAAGCCCTGTTTTATTGAAATCTGTCACCTGAATGCAGCCTTCCTTGATCAGCCGTATAGTCAGTTTCCACTGCTAGTGCCACAGGCACCCCTCCTTAGTAGTTTCTGCGACACTATAGAGGAAAGCGCAGAATTCAGTGGTACAGCACATGCTTTGTATGCAGAAGACCCCTGTTTCAGTCACCAGTATTGTAGACTAAAAGATCTTGGCAAAGCAGGGCTGAGAATCTCCACCTGAAGCCTTGGAGTGACACTGCCAGCTGGTGTAGTGAATGCAAGGCTTAATGGACCAAAGGCCTGAGCCCGTGTAAGGCAGCTTTGTTGGCTGGTGGAAGGAGACAGAGCAAATGTGCCTGAGCAGCTTTCATCCCGGAATGTATGTCTGTATTTACTTCTTTCTTGCCTTTCCTTCAAGGAGCTCGGGATGGCTTATGTGGGGTTTTCCCCATTTTTGTCCTCTCAACAGTAATTTGGGAGAGGCTGGGCTGAGAACAGCCTCTGTCCTTATGGGGTCTGAATGCTGGTCTCTCCAATCCAAGTCCGATGCACTGCATTGGTAGTCTAGAATGTGTCCTGTGGTTGACACAGCCTAGCTGTTGGTGAGCTAAAGTAGCGGCTTGTGATTGTAATGATCCACCTATAAAGCCCACTCTTGCAGCTCAGCTGCTCTCTGCAGAAAGAAAAATGGTTGCAGTAGCATAGCCTGTGTTCATCACTGAGCTCTGGTGTCATGTGATGTCATTGTGCAATGCAATTATGCTGGGCAGATATGCATTGAAACCCAAAATGATGGGGCCTTGGATGAATGGGTTTATTGGGTTCCCCCCACAACCATCCTAGTTCGTATAGTATCAAAGCTTTCAGAGATGTCTTCAGGCATTTGGAGGAAGGATGCTGTAATTTTGAGAGGAGAAGCATGTCAGTAGGTTGTAGCCACAGGTAGACCAATCCCTTGGGTCACCTTGTGGGGGTGGCTGCCTAGCAGTGCCCATTTGATTGTCAGGAACATAGAAGGAAAACTGTTATACTCTTGTTGCCTGATGTGTCTGTCTTCTTCCTCAATTAGGCATCACTGCATCATCACATCTCTGTAGCACAGATGGATGAGCTGCTCCCTGCCCGGAACTCACAGAGGGTTCCCCACCCCTTGGACTCCAAAACCACGTCAGATGTCCTGAGGTAAAGGATCTCCAAGTGTTGCATTCTCATTTTTCCCTCTTCCCTCTCTCCGTTCCCATGGGTCGCTCTGGATGATTTAACCGGCTCTTTTCCTTATAAATCTCTGATTTTGAGAGAGTTTAAGGGCTCATTTTATGGACCTTTGCAGGAGGGGCCATGTGAACTTTAAAAGAACAGACCCAACATTTTTTTCTGTTGGGAAATCCACACTTAAGAATTACAGCTGTGGGAATCTCCAGTCCTAGCTGCCAGACAGTGTATAGGATGAGGACTATAGCAGCAGATGCTTTTCTCCCAGGGAAAGGGCCCCCTCAGGCCTCAGGGAGAGAGAGAAAGAGTGCAGTTTTTAAATGTCTGGTATATCCTTTCATGGCCAAGAGAAGTACTTGTGAGCTTCTGCTGAAATCTCACCATATCAAAATTTTCTCTTGTAGAAAGATAAACTCTTAATTTGGCTATGAGATCACATCACGGCCTGTCTTTAGAAAGAGCTCTCAAGATTCCACCTAGTGCTGAGCTTAGCCCCCACCCCCACCCCCGGCAGCAATTCTGGAGATGGTGGTCACAAACGCCAGAGTGCAGCTTCTGAGTGATGGAAATACTGTTCTTCCTTGGGGAATTTTTTAGTCATAAAGCGCCACTCTAAATTTAAAGAAATTAGGCAATGGGATTATGTCTGAAACCATTCAGAATGTGGGAAACGAGAGAAAGGGGTGGGAAATGCAAGTAGCACTAGGATCATGTGAAGAAGCAGGGGCTGCCAAAACAGGTATGACAGTTTAACGAAACCTTTTGCAGTCCCCCTTCCCATGTGGCTCTACACTAACCCCACCTCAGTCTTCAAAAAATCTTTGCTCTCAAATGTGGGACTGTAGAGGAAGAAACAGTTTGATGGTATAATGCTTTCATTGTGGATCTTGGACAGCCCTCATCCCGACCAGTGGCAACTAGGAGCTTGATGTGCCTTTCTGTCTTTCCTCTCTCTCCTGCAGGTTTGTTCTAGAACAGTACAATGCACTGTCGTGGCTCACGTGCAACCCTGCAACTCAGGACCGCAGTTCCTGCCTTCCTGTCCATTTTGTGGTGCTCACACAGCTATACAATGCCATCATGAATATCCTCTCATAGTGAAGAAGCGCCTGGCGGGTCATCCCCTTCAACTTGAGAAATGTGCCATGGCCTTGTAAGGGTTAGAACGCTCCTTCTCTTCAGACCAGCCTCAAAGGGCCCAGGCCGTGCTTTGTTTTCGCCACAATAATGGAAGGGGGTCCCTTCAGTGTTAGGAGTGGAGCATGTGGGCACTTCCGTCAAGAGTCTTGGACAGTTGGAGGTGTGTTACAGCATCGTCAAGCCAGTGTTAATTTCGTGGCTGAACATTGTGAAACTTGGGGCCACGGAGAAATGACATCGTTCCTGTGCATGGATCTCTTTGCTTAAGAGAGGAAGCAAACTAGTGTTGTACCAGATTGGGTGGTGCGAAGCTGAAGATGTTCTTTGAAAACAAATACGATGGGACTTGGGCTACAAAGGAGAAACCGGCTGTGGTAGTTTAAGAATATGGGATTTTCTGTCTACCTGGAATTCCTGTCAGAAGTGGATTGGGATGAATGCCTGCATTTAATACCTGTCCATGTAGATATGAATGGTCTGGAGATATTCTAAGTTTTTTTTTTAATTTATTTATAGGGGATATTTTAAATTATATAGGACCAGGTACAGTAGGTGATCCAGCTCCGTTCTGCTCAGAACTATTTATCGACATACCTCTCGCTCTCCTGACCTACAAAAAAAGGGCGAAACCCATTAAAAATCCAAATATCAGTTAGGAAGAGCAAATTGGCAAGACCCATTAGGAGCTGTCAGTTTTTAGGGGACATTTTGGATTAATAAAATCTTTCTGTAGCGAGATTTAAATAACTCAGATGAACGACAGATAACATGATGCAGGATAACTGAGAACAGTGGGAAACTATAACCCATTTTAGAGTCCGATGTTAAGGCAACTTGGAAGGCGAGTATTCAGTTTAAAGGAATTTGTAATAAATTTCGAAATTATTCCTAAAGCCCGGTCATCCATAAATTGGGACAGGCTAGTCCCCCTTATGTGTCAGAGAATTCTTTCTGTTTACACTCAAATCAGTTTAAAATCTGGTGTGTTTTTTCTATCTATAGGAAAAGATATTATTTCAAAGAAATAATTAATTTTTAAAGTTATATCATTAAATTAGTACTTGAAAGTGAAACCACTGTGGTGGGGAAATGACAGTTTAGTTAAAACTTTTGCCATTTTGAAAAGTTTAAAGCAAATCATAGTATTTTTGTGACTCCTTGATCCTAGGATTTGAGAGGTTTATTATGTAAACTCCCATTTCTGGCGTTGGTGGTTGCACTGTGCGGCAGGCATGGGCTGCTTCTAAGAGGAGTCGGGCGAGGGGGGACTGGCTCGTGGGCCATCCTCAGAGAATACGCTTAACCATTTTTGAAGTTCTTCCAAAAGTCTGTCTTGTTCTGGTTAAAAAAAAAAATTAAAAGTTCTATGAATTTTAAAGAAATATTTTTCTTGAAAGGATGATGTAACATTTAAATCAAATTTATTATTAAAAAAAATTAATCCCACGTGAGAGTGAGAAAGGACTGGTCAGAGGAGGACCCTGTAAAAATGGATTGTTTTATTCTCTGCTCTAGGCCGTCCACCTGGGGGAACCTTTGCAATGTACAGGAGGAGAATCAGATATATCGAAACCATTTGTATCTAATGTATACAGTGTAAAATTGATTTTAAGAATATTGCAGTGCTATTTTTTCTTAATCAGAAAGGAAAATTCTCAAGGCCTTTTGAAGAGCATTAAAAGATTAAGATTGTAAACTTGTATACAAAAAAAATTAATGGTGAGGAAAACTATGTAAAGGCATCTTTTACTACTTTGGGCTTATTTGTTCCCAAGATTCACCTGAACTTTGGATTCTAGTTAGCTTATTTTTTTTTTCTAATGGGCTGTTTTTATCAAGGGGTTTTTCTTCCCCAGTGATCCAGTTCTAATGCAAAAATTAATATCCCGCCCCTGCCTCCCAAATGAGGGGAGGGGGCAGTAAGGAGTTGTTTTCATCTGGTGTTGCTTTTATTTAATTTTTTTTTAAGTTAAGAGAAAACTGGTAACATATTTATACATTTTTGTGCAAAAATAAATGAATGGCAATAGATTTTAAAAGAAGAAAAAATCTTATGTACTTCAGTGTGAGAAAAAAAAATCTGTATAATATTTCCCTTAAATATGCATTATTTTACTTGTGAGTTTTTTACTGAATTAATCTGAAAATGTACAAGCCCTGGCTTTCCTACAGAGTGAAAAAGTTATTTTATTTTTTTTAATTTCTAATTTTGGAAATCATGCAGAATTCAGAATTATTACAGTTTGAGCAAAAGGGGTAGGGTGGGGGTTGCGCAGGGGACGTCCGGCATGCTTGTATGTATATTTCCGAACCTTTTTTAATGTAAAAGCTGTACATTTCTTGGGGAGTTCTGATTTTTTTTTGGTTGTTTTTTTTTTCTTGAGCATTTTGCAGTGAGCCTCTTTTATATCTAGCCAACAATTTGAAACAAAACAAACAAAAAAAGAACTATGTGGTTCATTTTAAATCTACAGTATATCGCTGGTACAATACACTAAAAAAAAGACTTTGATAAAAAGAAGAAACAATAATAAATAAAAGACCTCCATTTTAAATGTCATTCATATATACCTTGTGGATGAGAGCTATATACTTTTACACACTTTTTTAGATGAATAAATTATTGAATTACTGAAATTTCTGTGTGGCTTTGGAGCTTATTTCTCTTGAGTAATTTACAGGACGTTTGTGACCCTTTCCTGGCTGCCGTTGGACTTACGGCAAACAGCAAGGAGGAACTGAATGACACCTGTGCCTCAGAGGCCACTATTCTTGTATTCTCTCTCTCTGTCTCTCTCCCCTTTTAAAGAAAAGGTCCCTTTGTGAGGCTATGGGTATTCTTAAAACAACCAGCAAGTGCTTGCTCTGTCTGTCTCAGGGGTGGAAACTAGTCAGAGGGTCAAAAATACTGATTTTACTGACCAAAATTCCCAAAACCCCTGACCAAATACTGACAAAAAACTGACAAATTACTGACCAATTCAATGTCAGCCTATTGATAAGCTAGTGTTTTAAAAGTAAAACTAGGACTTCATTAAAAATTACTATTATCTGGCCTCTGCCAGCGCCATAGTCAGATGTGATCCAGATAAAAGGATTTGCTTTCTGTTGAACGTTTTAAAATGAAGATAGGGCAATGCTTTTTATTGTACAAAATTTAAGGCAAAAAAATATTCGCTTTTAAAAATAATCACATACTCTAGATAGTAAAACAGCAAAAACATATTAAAAACCACACATAAAGTAATCGTTATGACAACAAGACATAATTATTGTAAGGTAAGACTTGTCTTTGCTTTATCTTTGGTTTTTTGATGAAAAATGAAGTTATTAACAAACTCTTTTCGTTTCTCAGCAGTTTTCCGCACTGCATCTGGAAGCATTTTTTTCTTGTCCTCTTTTCTTCCATTGCTTTCTCCACTCCTTCTAGCATGAGCTGTGCTGCGTTGAATCCCACCATATCCTTCTTCTCAGCAGCCTCCTTTACACATTTGGTTGCATCATTTAGCAATGTTCAAGCAGTCATCCTCTTCTCGTTCTGTTGTCTCAGCTTTTTCAGTTTTGCTTCCTTCTCTTGTATACTATCCTTTTCACTGTCTATCTTCTTAAACCTTTCTGCCTCCTCTGCCTTTCCCCCTTCTTTCTTTTCTTTTTTCTCCTCTTTAATGACACACTGTTCATCACAATATTGCTTGTAATGAACATGAGCTGCTCTTGCCATCTGTAAAAGCTCCTGTGTGATATTAATAATGGTATACATTGTTTTCATATATACATGATATAAAGTTTCTTTGACCATTAGGTGGGCATTCAAAGTTCTCTCTGACATCCAGGCCCTTTCATTGGTCAAAATGCGTCCAGTTTTTGAAAACCCTCTTTCTGTGTCCATACTACCATGCAATAATGATAATGCTGGTTTCACCACTTTGGTAACCAGTGGGTATTTTGGATCTCTAGATGGGTGTGTCTTTTCAAAGAACTGATTCCAGTATGTATTTATGCGGCAAGTTTCACTGGCAGTTTCATCTTCAAGTCTTAAGAAGTTTGCATTCATCCGCAATCATGTCCAGCGGAATATCCATCAGGAGTGCTGCTTCTTCTTCAATTATATCCTTGTGGGTTCCTTCCTTGACCCTCTGTGCTGGAGCTAAACATTGAAGATATCTGAAGATAGGCTTGTTCAAAGATGACTAAAAGGTGCTTGCAGGCTGCTATGAAATGTTTATTTGCTCCTGTTAAAAAGAGTAGCTGCTCCTTTTCAGAAAGTTTTTTCAGTTCGTCACAGATTCTACTTTCACTGATTACTTCTCTCACAGGTATGTAGTGCTCATCATTAAAGGCTTCAAGAGACAAATAAGCGGGCACTTGTGCAAAAAAAATCACCTCTGCTTTCATTGTCTCGTGTTTTAAGAGGTTAATTATGTTTCTATACGTTGTGGAAGATTTCACCAAATCACTTTTACTCTTAGGAACAAAGTCGTTAAAGTACTTCATAACTGAACTAAAAACAATCTGTCTTTTCACTGGGAAGTCGTCATGTTTCCCCCTAAATGCAGTAATGAAAAAAAAAAATACAAACTGCATTCATAAAAATCAAAGACATACTGACTTTACTGACCAATTTTTTTTTAAAAAAACTGACAAATTACTGACAAAGATGAAAAAAACTGACTTTTACTGATTTTACTGACCATTTTCCATCCCTGTGTCTGTCTCTTTCTCCCCTTCTCACTTGGCCCCTGTATTGTTTGTGCTAAACTCAGTGGTTTGGACCAGCATGAGACCAGTGCTCAGTACTATGAAGAGAAGAAGAGATTGGATTTATACCCCACCCTTCACTACCCAAAGGAGTCTCAGAGCCACTTACAAACTCCTTTCCTTTACAGTAGCCCATCTAAATGTTTTCCCTTCAAAAATGCTCTCAGGCCGGTTTAATAAAGTCCCCCTAATTGAAAGGTTATGTTCTTGTCCTTTAAAATCTGTGGATTCAATATATCATGTTATAGTTGACTGTCAATTTCACTCCGCCATACGCAAAGAATTATTGTCATCTTTATTTCCTCCTAATTTTAGTTCTAATAGGGAAAAGGCTATTCAGTACCTACTAAAGGATACTAATCCTAATATTACAGCTTTAGTGGCCAAGTTTCTTGCCGAAGCAGTCAAAGTTAGAGCTATTCTCGTAAAGGAATGATTCATATTGTTTATTTTGTTCCTAAATATCCATACTGTGTTACTGTATGTCTATGTATCTTACTGCTATGCCATTAAAGGTATTTGACTTTTGAAATCCTTTCCCTTCCCCTCCCCACAATAGACACCCTGTGAAGTAGGTGGGTCTGAGAGAACTCTGACAGAAACGGCTCTTTTTCGAGAACAGCTGTGCCAGAACTATGGCTTGCCCAAGGTCATCCAGCAGCTGCGAGTGGAGGAGTGGGGAATCAAACCCGGTTCTCCCAGATTAGAGTCCGCGCACTTAACCACTACACCAAACTGGCAGTCTCAAAAGACTCTTAGGTGATCCCTTCTCTCCCTTCTTTCCTTTGCTCACACTGAGCCAACCAGTCACCACAATTTGCCATGGCACTGGACTGGCATGCTGCAGTTTGTGCTTGCCCTGCAAACCTGCTGTTGAAAACATATGTTCCTAGTATTCACTGCTAGTTTTAAGGCAATCCAGTTTGGTTGTGACTGCAAGCTGCGGTTTGTCACAAACCAGGAAGTACGTAATTAGCTTGTCATAGCATACATCGGAGGGGAGGGGGTAGATCCATCCAGGTGCTCCATCAGGGCTTTTTCACACAGCATCAAACTATGGTTTGACATTCCCTCTGAACCAACCAAAAGCCTTGCCACTGTTGAAAGCAGAAGGAGTGAGCAGAAGGAGCATGTCAACAAGAAAGGCACTTTCTGTGACACACATA